CAGTTTTCTCTTCTGAAACAAATCGTTGATCTTTTTTCTTTGGTGATAAATCGTTGATCTTTTCTGTTGTTTTTTTTCTTTTACAAAGTATACGTATCCTCTTATTGAGGCAATCCTATTCGAAGTACTGTCAACACAAATGTGGACACCTTCTCCCCACAGATTCGAGACCTTAATTTGTTACATTGTGAAGACTAACCCCCTTTCACTAGACCAAACCCTGCTGGTTTTCTGTTGTTTTGGTCTCATTTCATTATTTGTTCCTTTTCAAAGCATATTAACTAATGAGAGTTGGATCTAATTCAACAACATCTCAATCCCTCACAAAATAACGAATCTAGATTTCAATCCCATTGAAAAAGACGCTCATATTTAATACCTAACAATGCATCGAATAAGATTACCTCCAATTGGAAGATACCTATACATAGCTAAAAGAAAAAGCATATTTAAGTTAAACAATATCATTTTACTCATCTTTTACTTCTTGTCAACACTCTTAATCATTTCCTAAATATCAATAGTAACAATGTGATTCTTTTTTCTCTCTCCTCTGGAAAAGAATAGTTGTGGGTATAAAAAATAGGAGAAAATGAAACCTTAAGAAACATCCAAATATTAGATGAAATCAAGAGAATCCCTAGAGTTGAAAAGGCTTTTTAATAGAACAACAATCAACAATAATGCAAATTGAAGATCAACAAAAACATGACAAGTGCTACACAAATTAATTAAAACTTTATGTGCAGCCAAGGGAAAGGAAATATAGAATGTTAAATAAAATTAACTAATTAAGAGCCCAAACCTCATATATGGGAAAAAAAATTGCGTTCAAAGAACTACTTCTAATTAAACTCAATAATTCTTAAATTAGATTCAATAATACTAAACACAGGATACTTATATTTAAAAAAAATGTAAAAACCAGAACTTTTCAATGCCAATCATCTATATAGTCTTCTGCAAGAGAATTTACAGCACTATCTTTAATGAGGTCCTAAAAGCCTATTCCATGTTTTATGCTATATTCTATACTATATTCAATCTAACACCGGTCTTTTGGCAGCATGAGGCTCAGAATTCAGAAATGGCGCACAAAATTGGTTGGGACATCATCCCACTAAAAAAGGGAAGGGAGCTAGCTAAATGCTATCTCCTGAAGTACTTGGAGTGTCTTCTGATGAACCTAAAGCAACAGAAAAGCACAAATAAATCATTTCATTCTGCAGTAATTTTGCAGTACTATTATTGTGAAGTCAAAATTTTTAGCTGCAACAATTAGTTCAAGGTGCCAGGCCTTCCACTGCAAATTCCAGCAATGAATATGCCAAAGTTTAAAAACCAAGTGACAATGCCTCAAGTTCCCCATGCAGTAGGTCTATAGCATAAACCATCTATTACTGGTTAAGGTTTAGTTGAAGGCTAACAAATGAAATTAATTGGGGAAAAAAGAATTTAAAAAGTAAAAAAAGAATGAAATTTCTGCAGAAACGTCAGCAAACAATTGGAAGCACAAATTAAGCAATAGTGGTGATCAATTAAACTGATCTTATTGCAAGCAGAAACCTTTGAGAATGTGATGGGAATAAAGGAATTTACCCATTCTAGATGCTGTGCAGTGATGCCAGATTCAGTTCCAGCGTATATTCCACTCAAGACCTAGCATCACAACAATGTAGGAAGATCAGATTTCAAATACACAAAAACAAGAGAAGATCATTTAAAATTGACATGTAAAGGAGTTAGATTGACTGAGGTTAACTTACTTTGTCAGTTCTCAATTTTTAATCCGCCTAATTAGATCAATACAGTTTAGATATAATAAACTACACAATCGACCCAATCAAAAAAAATTTTCAAAATTGTATAGGCTACATGGAAGTTTCGGTTCTTAACTTCTAAACCATGCCACTCAGTATTGGATTTCATGCAATCATCTACTAGCATGTTTGGCATGGCTTAAATTCCATGAAAACTTACTTTTGAAACCAAGAAGTCAGTTTAGGCCAAAAATATATGTTTGGGATGGCTTTTGGGGAAAATAACTTTGGGGACAAACGTCAAATTGAAGTTGATGCAACTGTTTTTGGCTTCTTTTTTCTCCCCCCAGATTTGAACATTCTAAAACTGAATTTTAAATACATTCAAACAAGTTTCTGCCAAATTATTTTTTTTTTATAAAAGCCTATCCAAACATAAATTGCATTACATCAACTGACTTTTACCCCAACTTCAATTTGCAAAAGTCAGTTAAAATAAAAGTCATTTTTGCAAATGTCAACGCAAACAAGCCCTTACCACATAAATTATGCAAACTGAGAGTGTTCAGATGTCATACAATAGAATCACAGACCACTCAACAGATTGGATTTCACACAAGCAGATATATTTTTAGTTCTTTGGCATGGAAAATGCACATTCAGAGTGCCATGATGGCATACGGTTAGGCATATTTACAGAATTCAACAGAAGCAAAAGAAGGCTCACTGGAAAGGACTAAATCACCCAAAAAAAAAAAATTAAAACCATGTAATAGACCCACTTACATGATTTTAAACTATAAGGACCAACTTGAAATTGAAAATCTAGTCAGTTCTGGAGGCCCGGGGGGGGGGGGGAGCCAATTTAACCAAACTATCAAGGGGTTCAACTTTCCTAAGTATTTTAGGCTATCAAAGGACACATTTTGATGTATCATTACCTTAGAGACAGTCTCAAGAAACATGCCTGGGCGTACTGGAAGAGGTTTCCGTCCTGTCACACTTGTCTGGACATCATGATAAGTAAAACATAAGTCATAAAATGGCGGGGGAGGAAAAAAAGACAAATATGATCTATACACAAGGCCTCCCGGATTAATTGATAAACATAAATGCATACATCCAATTTAACCCACCCCTCCAGCAATTCCACTTGAAGCCTTTTGCCCAGCACCGTCTTCCTCATCAACGTTGTCTGCCCCCTCACCTTTTCCTAGCATCACATTTCTTATCATATCCAGCACAGTTTTCCCAGGTTTTATGGCCACCAATTTGCTTAAGAAATTCACCTGCGTTGACAACAGTTGTAAAGATCCTAAGAATGATATAGTATTAATAAAGCAAGCTTTTAGATATCTTCATTACTTCATATGCAATTAAGGTTTCCAAGCCCTTTCACTAACATACCATAAATTCAGATGATAGAAGGCTAGGTATTATTATGTAATATTTCTTGCTGGCGAAAAAAGAAATATTGGGTAACATTTTACTCAATTTTAGAACCATACTGAGATATCAGCATACCTCAGACTGAGGAAGAGTGTACAAACCCCGGTCATTTCTTTCATCCAAAATCCCTCCTCCCATCATATCTCGGGCTTCTTCTCTAATCAAAACAAGCCTTGCAAGTAGTTTTCGATCAGGTACAACGGGCCGAGTTTCCATGGTCTGCATATATTGTTTAGCACAAGACAATTAACCAAAGTCGACAACCCTCGTGGCTGCGTGGGACAACACACAGGGAAACATGTCGTTCAATAAAGAGATTTGAAAAAACAATCTATGTAACTATTGCAATGCTTGAGGCTAGATAAGTACTCTTGTTAGAAGACCAAGCAAATATCTTTTAGTAAATAGTTTCAACAACACATAAACATTCTAGAGCTATTAAATAACGTTAGCCATGTGGCAAGAAAAGTTACACTAGACAGCGATCAAATTACCAATACATGATTTCCTATTATTTAATGTCTACATAAATTTAGTTAAAACCAGCGTCATTATGATCAATTTTGTCAACTTATCCTTTAATTTTAATGGATGAAAAATTATTTTAAACTAGAAAAAAGAGAGCAGCATCTAAGATAGCAAGTCCTGATAAAAGGGGAGCGGAGCCAGAGGAACCTGGAAACATCAGTACAATAAGACCACTTTATATGTCTTTCAATGACAACCCTCAAAAAAATTATATGGGCAGCGACACTAACAAGAATCCAAACAAGTTCAGCGAACAGAATTTGAATTTGCATGAAGGAGAAAATTTGCATTTTCTTGTAGAGTTCTAACTTGAATACAATTAGGCTAATGTGTATTTATCTGAAAAGTCAGTTGTTGATAAAGCCCAAGCCAACCCCGCGAAGGGGAATAAAGCTTCTTCTTCTTGTCATTATTGTAGGCTACTCTATATTTATATGAAAACTAGAAACATAAAAGACGAATAAGCCATCCCAACAAGCATTATTGGAAAAAGTGCAAGAGCTTCAGCTGAGATTTGTTACAAATATCATTTAATTCAGTCTCTATGTATTTCCCTTTTGTTTTGACACACAGTGCTGTCAAGCTGAGTACAGTGGGAAACACATGAAAATACTTGATGACGCGTGAAAAGAACTCTATAATTGTCATTTAAAGCACAAAACATAGCAATGCCCAATTATCCACCAAATATCATTAAGAGATGTGTTCAAATGCTGTGATTATGGTCTTACTCATTTTCTGATTAATCTGGTCTGTCACGTCCCATTTAAGCATGAGTAAACTTATTTATTTCCCATTTTATTTCCATTTTATGCGATTATGATCAGATCAGGTCCTTTATTATGCATTTATTTTGCTTTTTCTATTGTATTTTGCTTCCTGATTTGTTTATTTAGTATGGATTGTCAACAGGTTATTTCCCTTTTCAGGCCCTAGGTTTCACTGCTTCGTGGTTGCTTTATTTCAGGGGCTGAGTGGCAGATTTTTTTCTCTTTGATTCCCTATATAATTTCATCTTCCATCATGAATTAAATAAGAAAATTCAAGGTCATTGGAAAAGAAAAAACAAAAGTCATTGTTTTATGAAATTCTTCGACAAGTTTAAGTGTTCAGGGACTTGAAGCTTAACTCAGTTGATGATAGAATGCAAGAAGCTTTTAATATATACCTCTAGTAAGTCATCAGCTTGATTAGCTATGTCATTTAGATTTGCCTTTGGGATATGAATCTTAGCATCATTCTCGCCCTTAAATACCCCACCACCAGCTGCAACTCGTCGCAGTAGTTCATATCTGCTTTCTTTTTCAGGAGTTCTACAGAGAAGACCAATCACTTGAACCTAGAAAATGAGAAACATGCACATAACACACACCATAAGGATGGACTCATCCCTTCAATCAGAAATCAATCAGATAATGGCCCAAAGGAGTCTTCTTACATGTGGGGGACATTTCTTTGTTAAATGTGATAACACTGTCTCCTTGATCACTTCCAACAATGTCTTACGCTGAAAGAAAGAAAAAGAAACAATGTATAATGTTAATATCCAAACACAAGTTCATTATCATCTCTCTAACAAATGAATGTGAAAGTCAACAAATAGTAGTATCAATTGAAATAAAAAATCAGAGAAAAGTAAGAAGATCATCCGGAAAACCAAAAAAAACAAAAAAACACTTGAAGGGATGAGGAACAGCAAGAAGTCTTGAATTTCAGCTCTACACTCCTTCCAGATGAAAGGATAAATTATAGTGTGCATTTATGATATTACAACCAAATCTTTTAAAGATATTACAACCAAATTAATTATTTTATGACCTTCAACAACCTTCTATGTGAAACCAACTTGGCGAGCTTGCTTGACAACCAATTAGAATGGAATTGAAAAAATTCAGCGTGAAAATGATACCTTTTCATCATGGTCATTCTCAGCAAGTTGGATCATGTAATCTAAAGCCATCATAAAATTTGATTCCATCTCATCAACTCTCTTTCCAATAACTCCCTGTGCAGCCAACTCAACTGCCACTTTCTCAGAAGCTTCATCCATGTTCATGTCTTCCAGCTGAACTCAAACAGATAAAACAAGTGATAAGTAACATTACACATTAGCATTGCACAAACAACATGTAAGACCATATGAAGAATTATGCAGGCAAGGTCAAGAAGACAATTTGCAAAATACGTACAAGTGTGTCAAGGTTCATGAACAACAATACACACTAGAAGCTCACAAACGAAATGTAAAGGCCTCAACAATAATTACGCAAATACAATTCGCAAACTGCAAATAAGCATGCTATGAACTGAAATTAATCACATCGGTTATCTTCACCAGGAAGTGCACATGGATAGCATGCATAGATTCAAAGTTCTGACAAGTAAAAACACTCGACTGTTACCACAATATTAATATTATAAGTAATATAGGTGATTTTCCTATCAATTGTGATAGGAACCAGTGGCTTTTACTAGTTTATTGTTCAGTGAATTATTATGTTTTATGTGTTTTATTATGTGTCTTGTGTTAACTGTTACAAGTGTCGAGTGTTGGCTGCATTATTGTCAGTTTCATATGGATAGGACAAGGTAGTTATTTTCACTTTATGTACCCGGCTATAAATATCATATATGTATTCTGCCAAAAGGGAGAATGAAGTATTATTTAGTGAATTAGGCTATAAATATCATATATGTATTCTGCCAAAAGGGGAATGAAGTACTATTTAGTGAATTATTTCCTTGTCTCTCTTCTCGACGATTACAGATTCTGGTTCCAGAGTTTCTCTCCTTCTCTACCCCTTCCTCTTTTTCTTCCCCTTTTTCCCTACTTCTATTTTCCAGATTCTCCTACTTCTAGGATTAGATTCTGATTCTAGAGGACCCTCACATTCCTTCTACAATCCTATTCTTTCTTCTACTTATCCTATCTTTTTTAACCTAGTTTCTAACAAATTGACAATAATACAAGATGATAACCAGTGTCATTTTTTCACTCTCCAGACACTTTTCAAATTATTGATCCATACAAAGGCGCTGCAACTTCTGATCTTGTATTAATGAGCTTTTACCCAAATGAGGTAGAAGCAGATGTGTCATTTTAATTGCCCATTGTTAATTCTAGGGTTTCTTTGAATTTGAAAATTATAACAGAATTCATCAAAGAAATGTTCCAAATAAAAAAAATCTGATTTTGGTTATGCGGACACATAATGACTTCAAACAATAATTTAAACTTCCAATTATTCACAAAGACATACTACATGATCAAATGAAAGGGTGAACTCCAGGGTCTAGTCATCGCAAATGACTTGATGTCTTTGATTCAGAGCAAAAAGATAACTCTTTCACCTCATATATCAGAAAATGTTTTCAGTTACTATCTCAAATCAGTACATAGAATCTTTGTTACCGGTAACCTATTCTTAACCTAGACATATATTTTTCATCCCTTCTGTTGTCCATATCATTATTGCACTGGTAATATCCATCAATTGACCTAGTCCTAAATTATGAATCGCTGCCCCAAAGGGACATTCACCTATACTCTTTGCAGGTGCCCAACTATGTTAGGTATATCTTTAGTTTTCACATAACCCCTTCAACCAAAATTAGTTTCATTGTCATTGAAGTAGAAAGGAAAGCTTTTCGCCTTCATTCCATTTTATTGCTGATAAATAGTACCGAGTCCCAAAATTTGTATAATCCAAACAAAATACCCAAGGAATTACAAGATTAATTAACATGTCCATAAATTCCAGTTTGCCGAATTATCATAGGAGAATATTACTTATCCCTAAAATGAAGACTAAAATGATAACTGATAAGTAAGTTGAAGTCAATGAGCCCGGAAACATGCAAAAAAATGAAGAATTAGATGTTTATAACAGAACATGAACGTTATATTCTCATATGATGTCAACGACAATCAGTGACCTGGTAATAGTACATAAAGGTACATCTATACAATATCACAATGAATCGAGCACTAGATAGATTGTTGCCAAGTACAAGCATGCATTGTCAAGTAGTTGGGGGAAAAAACCATTCTAGAAACATAGGACATTTAGCTGGAAGGTATAACAATCACTCCATGCCTATTAACACCCAGTTAACATCAGGGGCCTAATATGATACCGTTGATGTAGCACAGAAGGTCACCAAAATCCCCAAAAGGGCACGGGAAACTATTATAAGCTCAGAAAGACATAACATTATTTCCCTAAAAACACCAACACGATCAAACACATGTTTTTGAGATACACATCAGTTTTGCAAGCTGGAATGAACGAGATATAAAGAATCCACCCCACAACTACTCATTTGCATCTAACGCTCCCCTTAATCCAATGAAGGAGCCAAAAACAAGTTCATTTTTCCTTCACTTAAGAAGAACCCTATTTCCTTCACTTAAGAAGAACCCTATTAAATGGAGGAGGCAAAAACTTACAAGGGTAATCATTTCCTGGAGAACAGAGATGACCTGTTCTCCTCCCTTGAGGAGAGCATCACGTTGTGAAGAATCCAACTGGTGGTTCCCTCGTTGTTGGGGTCTCCTGTTTCTGTCTTCTACATCCAATTCCTCTTCTGGGTAGCCGCCACCCACTTCATAACTTGTACTTGACACTAAAAGCTGCGTTCCCCTCTTTGGTTGCCTCAAGTGCAACCGTTGAAAGTGGCATGGCGGAGAGGAAGTTGCGGTTGGAAAAAACTGAGGGAAGAGACTAGAAGAGACACATGAACAAGCAGGGAGGATGAATAATGTGCCCTGGAACATCCCGCTGCCTGCTTCAGTTCATAACTTCTTTGAAAGGATAAGAATAATATGCTTAAAGAACGTGGACGAGGGGAAAAAGGAAGAGAAAAATATTGAAAATAAAATAGAAACTCGCCGTCTGTGGGAATCGAACCCACGACCACATGGTTAAAAGCCATGCGCTCTACCGGCTGAGCTAAGACGGCAAGACGGGAAGACGACAAAATGTGAAAGTTATAGCCCATAATTAATAGAGGAACTCGTGCCAATCCAAGACAACAGATCTGAAAAGACAAGAGCGGGCCTTTTAAAGTCCTCACCAAAGAGACTTGCCGCCGTCATCATTGGTGGGTTCATGAGCTATGGTTTGCCGATGGGGAAAAGGAGAAGGGCAAAGGAGTCAATGGGCTTGCAAAGGTACATTTTAATTGGCTGTGTGGAATACTGATTGTGAATGCCAATGTGAAGGGTTTTTATTTAAAAAGAAAAATTATGCCTACATGTCCTGAAAGGCTAGTTAGAGTTTGGTGAATTGAACCAAATTTAAAGCACTACAAATAAAATGAGAGTAAATACATCTAAGAGATAACACAAAGATGTTATGTGCTATTTTATCCTAAGCAATATAATTACAAAATATATGTTATTTAATTTAACCTGTTAATTTTTCACACTTCCAAGTGTTTGACAATGATGCCCTCTAATTTATAATTTTGTGAGTACTATTTTTTTTTTTTTTGGAAAACCAAATTTTTTAATTTTTGTAGTCTTAATTCAGTTGTACCTTGATTTTTAAACTTTAACTTAATGCAAGTCTCTAAAATTTGAACATAGTTAAAACTCAATCTCTGAATTTGACTCAATGCAACTAAATCTTTTATAGTTTTAACAATTAAAATTTTAATTCCTAAATTTTATAAAATATATAATTTTATCTTTTAGAATATAGGGACTTATATTTTAAAAAGTTAAAAACCATTAGGGCTTAGTTGCATAAAGTCAAAGTTCAGCCTTCTTTTTAATATTATTTTTGGGCCGACCACGTGGCGCTTGATGATGATGGATTCCAAATTTTTGTGCCTTTAAATTGCACACAAGGTTATATATCTCCATGATCGATATCCTATAATATTTTCATACCTTTATACTCTTCCGGTTCTTAATATAAGATCTAATTATTGAGTTAATTTTTGTCTTAAATTTAAGACCCATTTATCATATTTACCAATTTTCTCTACTCCTAGGGATACTCCTTCAACCATAATCAAATAGAAGAGGAAAATAAGTATTAAGAAAAATGATTATGGTATTTTAGGAAAAACGCGTCATATTTCTTACAATTAACTAACTTACTTAACTTCTTTAATCTAATCAAATTAGTTAAATGGATCTTATATTAAAGACTGGATGAGTATCATTTTGTCTTTATCTTTTAGAGTAATATGTGTAAAATAGCTGGTCAAAAAAATGTTTAAAATATAAAATTACATGTTCCCACATCTATGTTTTCCTTTAAAAAAAAAAAACTAAATTAGACCCTTTACTTTTGTATAAAATCCAAGTCTCACTGAGCTGATTCTTATCGAAAAGCCTATTAACCCCTGAGCATATATTCTCTAAGTTTCATATTCTTCTGAGTGATTAAAAAAAATTAAGAGAGCTACCCATAATTAGATGTGTTAATACTTGAATATCGTTCATTAGTACTAGATATTATATATGGTGATATGAAAAAAGACCAACTCTCAGATATTGATTCGAATACTCTTAGTATACCATAAAAGTTTCCAAGCATTTGTCATTTATAGAATATTTAATTTGAAAAAGAATATATCACCATTGTTAAATTTAATTCTTCTTGTTGAAATGGGAGCTTTTAGTTAAATTAGGTCTATATGCAAAAATTTAAATCACTTTTCTGTGTTATATGTTATGCATATCTATATATTATAAGCGTTAGAATAAAAAAGATAAGTAAGAAAATGTACAAGAAATAAGTGTTGTCAGTTACAAATTATAGGATAAGCGTAGCTATTCTAAAATTATTAAATATTACATTTTAAATTACAGAAAATTATGAATTTATTTTTAAATTATTTTTTCATTTTTCAAATTTATTCCATTTTTATTTTGAGTTATTCTTTTTTTAAATCGATTTTTCATATATTTTTGTTGTTAGTTTTTTTTTTAATTTAAAATAGTTGCCCACACACTTCATGGAATCGCTTCAAGGAAGACTCACTTCCTGGAGGTGTTTGGAGGAATCAAAATCATAATTTTAAAAATACTTTTATAGTGTTCAAAATAAATATATAGAGAAGTTTGTCCTTACAGAAAAATACTTTTAAGAAATACTTTTGAGTACTTCTAAATACTTTTTTTTAATCTCATAGGCTCTTTTACTTCTTCCTATCATCATTCGCAACATGTTGAAATTGGGAAAATGGACCAGCCGTTCATGGGTTGCATCCTTTAAAAAAAAAAAAAAACTATAAAGTCCAGTTTGTGACCTCGCCGGGTTTTTAGCCCGCTTAACAAAAATTATAACTTTTTTTCCATATCAAAAAAGAAAAATAAAATGATAAAGCGCTTGAGATATATGAATCACTTTGAGTTTATTTTATCGTAATAATTTTTTAAAAATTTAATTGCTGTGAACTTTTTTCATGTTCTTTTTAACTCGCATGTTACTTTTCAAATAGTTTTTTTATTTAAAGATGTAGATTGTTTTTTATTTTTTACATTGAAGTTAAAGATGTAAATTATTTTTTATTTCAAATTAAAATTTTTATTTATATTAAAATCAAATAATACTAGTCAAGAAAAATAAATTTTGAATCGTAATTCTATACTTACTATAAAGCGTGTAGACCATGCTTAGTAAAGTAATATTTATTTTTATTCATAATAATAGCTTTTAAAATGAAATTAATAGGTTATAGTGATTTCATTTTACATTTATGTTAATTTTCACATATAATAGTTTCTTTTAACAAAAAGTGGCTTACATAAATTATTAACCCCGTGATAAGGAAAGTTCAAAATTATAATTTTATCCGTTTCTTAAAATATATTGAGTAATTGTTGTAAATGAGTGAGTACTTTGCTTCTTCTATTTTTATCATAGGGTTTATTTTTTAGGTAAAAAAAAAGAGTAAATATACTTATAATATCCATATTACTCCTCTGGTTCTAAATATATGACTCATTTTGTAATATAATTTATATTATAAAATGGATCATATATTTAGAACTGGAAGAGCACTATGTTAGTTCAAAATTCTAAAAACAAAAATAAATAAATAAATAAAAAGCAGGGGCCTGTCTGTTTAATTTTTAGCCCTACAAAACTGATCTTTTTAAGCTCGTCTTTCTATTGGCTGTATTGTGTATTGGCTCCGAGTTTATTGATCCCTCCTGGTTTTTGTGTAAATCACACAATAACCCTGTATGGATATTCTATAAGAGCTAGCACTATTTAGGCTTTTTTTTTTTAACTAATTTGAGGATATTAAGGAAATGAGTTAAGTTAGTTATTGGTAATAAATAGATGTTATCTTTCCTAAAATATCCTTGCTAATCAAGTATATTGGCTAAAACTATTATTATTAAAAGAACTATTTTGGAAAAAAAATGCATAAATATGAGAGACAAAGTGGATTGGGGTCTCATATTTAAAATCAGAATAAAAGTTAAACGAGATCTTATATTAAGAACCGGAAATAGTACTATCTAGATTTTTTTTTTGGAGGTGTTCTTTTATCTACTTTTCCATAACATCTCTTTATTTTTAGGGGTGCTGTACAAATTTACTCATAAACTTTTCATGAATGTGCATTTGGCACTACAATATTTATTTGAGTGTAAAAATACACATAATTTTTTCTAAATAAAGCAAAAATGTCATATTTGTTAACTGTTTTGATTTTAAATGCCCATTACTTCTTCTTTTTTTCCCCGAGGTCCCATTTAGCACCCACAATGTGCAACTCATTCATGCTTTAACTAATAAAATTCCACCAGCTTAGTTAAAAATAATCTTATGTGTCATTTTTTTTTGGGTAAAATGATGAAATATATATGAAAACAACGAGATCTTAGCTACAGAAACAGCAGACTACTAGGTAAAGAAAAAAAATTTTGGCCCCCGGGGAGATTTTGGTTGTGCTTCGACAGCGATGCCGTTGAAATTTTTGGGCAGCTTGTAAATATCAACTACAACGAGATTACCGCTCTCCTCCCCTGTTGGTTTTAGAAGAAGGAAAATTGCTTTGATAAAGATTAGTTTGAGAGTGACTCTAAGGTTTGTTTGGTATGACGGAAATGACGGGGAGAAAATGAGAAAAAAATTTTAATGAGCTTGATATAAAAAAAAAAAAGAGATAATTAATTTGTAAGTCCTTATAATTTTAACTGATTTTGAATCAGGTCCCTATAGTTTTATTTCTTTTTATTAGGTCCTTGTATTTATTTTTCTTTTATCAAATCCTTATAAGTTCTCCTTGTTTTTAATTAAGTCCCTGAATTTTTTACTCTTTATCTTATGAACTCTAATAATACTATTCTATAATCATAAAATAGTATATATTATTTAATATTATTTTATAAACAATAACATTCTAAAAATAATGAATTATTATAATGATTTCATTTTTTTGCCAGCAAGAAAATATTAATTGTTCTAAAAAATTTTCTTGAATTAATTAATTATATTACTTATAGTAATTTAATTTCATTATTAATATTTTATATTTCAGTAATCTATTTAATTAAGTTTATATTTAACTAATAAATAAAAATTAAAACAACATGGACCTGATTAAGAATTTAGGAAAATTATAAGGACTTTATAAAAAGAAAAATAAATGCAAGGATCTAATTAAAAACATGTGAAAGAATAAGGACCTAATAAAAAGAAAAAAAACTGTAAGGACCTGATTCAAAATTGATTAAAACTATAAGGACTTGCAGATTAATTAATCCTAAAAAAATAAAAAAGGTAAAGTTAAAAGCTTTTAATTAATTTTTTTAATCCCACCTTTTCAATTTTTCAAATTCAACTTATTACAAATTTTTCTTCTCTCTCTGTTTTTTTTTTTTAAACTTTTCTCATACCAAACATAGGGTATGGGTGAAATAACAAACAGCAATCAAGAACAATAAATTGGCTCTTACACCCCATTTTTTGTGGTTATAAGTATTTTTTTTTATTATAAGTAATCTTGTTCGAGATACTATTAGATACTAAATTTGAACGCTTCTCTCAATAATGAAATTTTAATTTGACACGTTGTGAAGATTAATTCTTTATGTTACATCTAACTTATTGGTTTCTTGCACTTTTTTTTTTTTTGGTAACACCTCTTGCACGCTTTAGCAGAAAGTGACTGTGAAGAGTGTCAATGTGGGCCTTTTTCTAGGTGAGACCGAGTGGGCATTGATTGTTAGGGTTGATCCATGCATTGCATTCTCCCAACTTTGTGCTTCTGAAATATGATCTTCCAAGTATCTCTATTGGGTAGCAGAGCTGAAGTATAATTTTTTAAAATACTCTTCTAGTCTTAAATATAATAGGTAATTTATTTTATACAATTAGCCTTACATTTAAAATTAAAAGAATATAATCTTACGTGTCATTATTCATTCACTTCCCTTCATTTTTTATCCACACTTAACTCCTCTCCTTCCTACTCAACACTTCACCCTTTACTCTTCACTTCATATCTCATCTCTTTTTCTCTCTAACATGTCAGAAGAGGTAATGGGGGAAGATAGCAAATCTCATTAAGTAACAATGGTTAATTTAAATAAATAACAATGATATATTTTTACTCGTATAAAAAAGTACATGTAAGAAGTTTTCTTCATGAAACTCTCCTCTTAGTTTTGTGTTTTGTACATTTTATCTTTTCTTTAATGTAATATTTCTTCTCTTCGATACTACACCAATCCAACATCATCTAAGTTGGTGGAATAGAGATGAATGATACCTTTGTCAACTCAATATAATAGACATGTTAACTCAGTATAATTGGTTAACTAATGGTAAACGACACATGAATATGTCAATTCAGTATAATTGGTCAACTAACGGTTAAATTTAACTAAGATAATGGCCAGAGTGACATAATTATGATTTGAAAACTTCTAGGACGATATTGAGACAAAAAATACTTCCGGATTCTCAGCTTTTCTAAGAACAAACTTTCAAAATAAATTTGTACCTTAACCTTTTTATATATTCCAGGATCTTTATTGTCATTTTCTCTAAAAATACGGTGCTTTTTCCTTTTTTTTTTTAATTCCTCAAATAAAATAAAGGAAATTCTGCCTGAACCGAAACGCAGCGTTCTTACAATCCTTGTCTTGATTCGATTGACCGTGGCAGTGTCCAAGTACAACGAGATAACAAATAATTAAAATAATAAAAATTAGCAATAAAAAAATATTAATGATTAATTAATGCCTTGTTTTCGAACGTTCACCAGTGTCAGACCGTAGGAGACGGCTTTTCGGAATGGCAACTCATAGTAAATTAACAAAAAGCAGAGGGCAATTCCGTTCACGCAAACACACATTTTTTGACGCTTCGGAAGGTAACAGTAAATAATGCTCCGTCAATTTTTACTATCCCGGTTTTGTCCCGAACACGCCCAAAGGCGATTCCGCTTCCCCGCTTCTATATATACACTGTCCCACCCCCCAACCCCACTTCACGCCATTTCCATTTCTTCGTCTCCTCCTCCCTCGCTTTCTCTCTCCTAGGGTTAGGGTTTTTGCGGAGCTTTGTGTGTGCCTTTTTAACTCTCTGATCCATCAATGGCGCAACCGGAGGTTCAGAATGGTGGAGCTGAGAAGGCAGCAACTGTGGTGTCGTTCTCCGCTGTGAAGCCGCAGATACTGGTGGAGGCGCCGAAGGCAAACGACGCTGTTCAGTTCTATAAGGCTGCATTTGGTGCCGAGGAGGTTGGCCGTACAACTCATCCGAAACGCAAGGCTGAGCAAGAGCTCCCTCTCATCCTCTCTGCTGAGCTGAAGCTCGCCGGCGTCACCATCCTCGTCTCTGACCTCTTGGCCGACGATTCTGCTGCTCCGTAAGTCTATACCTCTCGCTTTCTGTTTGTTGTTCTTCACTTTCTCGTCTGGATCATATCTGCTTACTTTTTCTTTCCTCGCGTCTCTGATTTTCGTTTCTTGTGCTGCTCTGCGTTGAGATCTTTTGTGCTCTATATATGAGTGTTTTGTTTCTGTAGGATCGCTCACCGAACCGAACAATACGCTTGTAAAGACATTTCGTGTTGTTTCTGCTTTGTCTTAAATTTCGTACCCTAAAAACCGGTATCCTGGCGCAACTAATTAATAAAGCGTAGCTGATAATTCTTTTGTCCTTTGCTTTGCTATTTCCTTTCTCTTCTGTGTTTTATACCTTTTATTAGCCATTCTATCGTTCTCATCGTTTCATATTTCGTATATCTTGCTTTTCGATTCACTTTGAAACCTTTTGTCGTACTCAAATGATTTTTTTGGCTGTATCTTACCCTTTATGTAGTTTTGTTCTGAATAATGGTCGTGATTTTCGTTACATGTTCGCCGAATGGTGATTTAATTGTAGAATTTGTGTTGTTTATGTTTCGATCTGCTCGATCTCACGCTTTAATCCTTGTATCCTGGAAAACTTACTGCACACACAGTTCATATTGTCGTTTTATTATCAAATCTCGTGATATCAGTTTCGCTATACCTACTAGATAAGACTTTCGTGGTCTATTGACTTGACTTTTTAGGCGATTCTGTTCAATGTTTTGTAGTGATTTTGTTTTCTTTCGCTATATTTTTCTTCGTTTATGATTGGAAGCGTGCCACTCTCAGTGAAATGAAACTGATTTTGTCTTGTTTTTCATATGTTTTTTAAATTTTGTTTGATTAAATATTTCCAGGGCGAAGAGTGTTGGCAACGGTGTCGTTTTGTGCCTGGAGACGGAGGAGGTAGAAGCTGCCATTAACAAGGCGGTTGGCGCCGGAGCTGTTGCGGAAGGCGAGATCGTGTCTGGGGAGGGCGCGTGCTGCGGGGAGAGCGTGGGCAAGGTGAAGGACCCGTTTGGCTTCGTGTGGGCCATCTGCTCGCCAGGAAAGAAGTGCGCTAACACAGAAGCTGAAGCCTGAGATGAGAAAATAGCAGTTGGACGCTCTGATTTTAACTGTTTCTGATCTGAGTCCGCTTCTAGCCGTTAGGATTAGCCGTTAGACCCTTCTCTGGGCGTAGTATTAATATTTTGAATAGCCTATGGACCATTGAACTTCATGAATTATGGACTTTTTGAATACTCTTAACTGACACCTGGCAGTTAATGAAGTAGACTTAAATTTTCTCGTTCTGATGGGTTAAACTAGTTTTATTAATATATCATATCCTTTGTTTCTGCTTCTGTTTTTCTGGGCCTGATGACCAACACGTTGCCATTTTGCAAGGGTATTGTCGTCATTTCATGTTGTTGGCATGGATGAGAATTAGAAGTTAGAACATGGAACATGGAAGCATGTTGGGTATTATATTGTATGATTAAGATATGCGTGCGCTTTTAATTGTTACATTATTATTATTATTATTATTATATGGGGCGGAGATGTCGTCGAGAGGGATGCTATGGGTGTGTAGGGTCCACTGAGCATTTGACTGGGGTTAGGGAAGTGTCCTATTAGAATTTGACACGTGGTCATGGCGGGATATTTGAGGAACAAATGGAAGGGATGGTGATGGTCCCCTCCGGGAGGGGGGGATATGGTGGGGTGTGGCATATTTGTGGAGAGGGGAACGGAATCCTCGTGATGGTTTGTTTTGAGCATGAGCCATTGAAATGAATGAATGAATGCTCGTGATGGTTTGTGCGGTGTTAGTATTGTTTAAGGCATGGCAATTTAGAAATGCTGGAAATGTCAGATGCGTCGGGATATGAAAGACAAATCAAAGCGCACCCTATTATTATTATTTTAGCTTATCTCCTGTGTCACGTGTTGTCATTTGATTGTATATCATCTCCAATTAGGTAGTATGATTATTTCAGTTGCCGTACACAACCCAAAATCAAAGTTGTTAAGCTTTTATTTTTTATTTTCCTGTTTTCAACGAAGTAGTGAATTATGATAAATGATTTTGGCTCTGTCATCATATTGCAAGTGTAGACCAAAAATTAATCTCTACGACATTATGAATGACTTGTTGACTACTTCCCCACTCCATTCCATGAATTATTTTTGGGTTTGGGTCTGGCTCAGCCTGCCGTGAGGCCAACATTTCAGATAATTCAAATTCAATACAAAATATAGTTTTGGTCCTGAAAATGCCGATGGAATGAGTTTTTTTTTTTTTTATATAGGAAAGGCAAGATGAAGATAAAGAACTAACAGGAACGAAAAACTACTCTAAGTCATCCCTAAAGCGAGAAAGGTAGTCGGCCGGTGGATGCCACAACATAATCATTCCTTCTGTAAGCCTGTGCGCCTCCTTAGCCAGTTGGTCCGCACACTGAATGTTATCCCGAGGTGTGTAGTTGATCTTGAGGTCCCAATCAGAGTACATCAGATTTCGTATTTGCATTATGTGTGATCGTAAAGGATGTTGAAAACCTTCATCTACCATAAGCATATTTCCAGTCCTTGTTGTTTGTAAATTTCCAGTATACGCCATCACTTTGCTGTAACCTTGTTGTTTGCAAATTTCCAGTCCTGTTTGTAACGCCAATAGTTCTGCTGCCGTAGAGGGTAGGAAACCCAATTTCTTTTTAAACCCGACGAGCCATTGTCCTGCTGAGTTCCTAACTATGCCTCCACATGCCGCGAATTTTAACGTATTGACAGATCCGTCTGTATCCAATCTAACAAACCCCTCAGGCGGAGGGGTCCACTTGGCTTCCCAGTCTGTGCATGTGCCAAATAGCTGATGCTTCAGTTCTCCTTGTTCTGTAGACTCCATGAGCAGATGTAGTCCCGCATGTATAAGTTCTTCCGCATGGCTTCGCTTTCCCTCCATAACTCCTCTGCATCTGTTCTTCCATAGTAGCCAGCAAGTCAAGGCGAAGACTTTTAGCCAATGCCATCGTTTTTTTCTCAGTTTTTTTCTTACAATGCCCTCTCAATTCTTCCAACAGAAAATTTAAGTGAGTTGGGATTTTAGCAAAAGTTTTGACATTATTAGCAGAACTTGAACTTGTCATCTTACCATGAATGAAGGGGCCGAATTCCCTTCTTGGACCATCTTTTTGTCAGCTAAATCCAATAATTTTTAGGACCGACGATGTTAAAATTCGCGTCCAACAATCATGACTTTCTTCCGTTTCTCGTCTCTTTCTTGGTGGCATTGTCTGATTTTTTTTAGAATTAATATTATTTTTTATCTCTTAAATTTGTTTTTATTTTGGTTTTGCTTCAAGTTTTAAGTCATAGGTTTTAATTCTTTATGGAGTAAATTGGTCCAGGTTTTTATTAAATTATAGGGAAAAAAAACTTAAAAGACTAAAATTTATGGGTTAAAACTTTATGGACCAAAATTAAAATGAGAATAAACTTGGTACACTAAAAATTGTATTAAACCCTGTTAATATTTAAAATTTTTTATTTATGAAAATAAATAAATCATAAATAAATATGATAACATTGCCATTCTCGTTGTTTCATGTCCATTTTACCATCTGTCTCCATGGCCTTTCAGCCATCTTCAACTCCTCAATAGCTGACACGTATAACCACGTGGCTATCTCCACTCGTCCACCTGGCACCCATATGTTTGCCACGTGTCGACCCTTTCCCAGTTTCCCCTTTGATCGGTGCCTTCATGGACCTAGTCGTCCAGACGCCTTTTATCGTCGCCGGAAACGGCAAACTGTAACCCAACCGCTGCCAGGGCAATAGTCTCCAAATGGGTACCCAACGTTGGCGTCTCAGGGCCCGTTTGGTACAGGAAAAATGAGACGAAAGAAAAGGAGAAAAATTTTAATAAGCTCGATTTAAAAAATTAAAAGTTTTTAATTAATTTTTTATATTATTTTTTCTTTATTTAAATTTGAAAACCCTGCTTATTCAATTTTTTAAATAGAGATCATTAAAATTTTTCTTTTCCTTCCCTTCTCTTCATTTCCCTCATACCAAACAGCACCTTAATGCTATTTTATTGTCAGTACTTAATACTACGTCCACAGTCCAGATTTTAACTAAATAATTAATGTGTAAATGTTAAAAAAATTAATTAAGTTAATTATTTGTAATAAATATGTGTTTTTTCTTAAAATATTCTTGTTAATCATGTGTAATAGAGTAAATTTTTTTTAACATGTGCAATAATCTCGAGGACTACTTTGAGAAAAAAATAAATAGATATAGAAGACAAAATAAATTGAAATATAATATTTGGATTAAATTGAATCTCCAATTAAATTTAGGACCGGAGGTAGTATTATTTTTGGGAAAATTGTAATAAAATCCCATCCAAGAGAATTAAATAAAAAATGATATATTGAGATCCTCAAATTATTCTGAAGTCCCAAAAAACCTCATTACAAAATATTTTGTTTGTTTAATTACCAAATTATTTTTTTTTAATTTTGCATTGATAATTGAAAAGTAGTCATTAACAAGTTAAGATGTAAGAATTAATAACTATCACGGTAGTTATGACTTTTTTGTATTTAATTCTCTTAGGTGCGGTCTGATTGCAATTTTCTCAGTACTTTTTTGGGGTCTGATTATTAGTATTATTGATTTCAAATTTTCACTTGTGTGGGCGGCTCATGATACGGACCCATAAGCAGGCATTTAAAAGGAAAAAGTCCTCCGCATCTTGTTCTCCATAGAAGTAACATTAGCTTCACGAGTTTTGGTTTAGCCTTTTCAAATTATTCTATGCTGTCTAAAATAAATATAGAATTTTATTTCATAAATGAAAAATAATTTTTTAGGGTCTAAGCGCCTGGGAAACTGAGATATATGAGCACTTATACTGCGTTGGGTCTTGGGTTGGCTGTCTTTTCTATTTAGAATTTTCCTTTCCAGCGTCTCTTTTCCTTTAAAAAACTACTGAAAAGTCTTTAAGGTATTTGGATATAAACTAAACTATGATTTCAAAAATGCTTTTATGATTTACGAAGTAAATATATGAAAGAATTTGTCTTGTTTTGCGGAAAAATGCTTCTTAGAAACACTTTTAAGCATTTCCAAACACCCCCTTTATTTCAAAAAAAAAAGTGCTTAAAAAAAAACTTGAATTGAGCGATTGTAACTCATCTTCTTCAACTGATGCAACTTTTTTTTTTCCCCAACCGTAAGCTATTTTCAACTATATATAAAACAAAAAAGTATTTGTATATGATAAAGATACAAAACTATATTGCACACAATTCAATAAAAATTATACTCCCTGAAGATGAGTCACACCCAAATTCTTAAAAAACAAATGTCAAGTATATTTGATTAGGTAATAAATATTTTAATGTGGAAATTTTTAGCAATTTCCCCTTTTCCTTTCCATTTTAGATTTTATTTAAAAAGATATATCAACAATTATGTATATCACATTATGAAAGACGTGCAAAAATGAAAACTCCTACTCAGAGTTTCATGTAGATAATAATATGGGAAAAAGACAGAAAAATAACAATTATGTAATGCTATTAATAACAAGTTTTTTGAGAAATTCAAAAAGTAGTATTTTTACAACTTAATAATGCCATTAACAAGTTCCATAACCTTATTAACAATTTTAGTATAGTATTTAATAACATGTTTTCTTAAAATTAAAAAAAAAAAAGGCATTTTTACAACTATAGCAACTATTTTTTTTAAAAAAATTTTTTTACAACTTCAGTATAGCAGTTAACAACTTTTGTAATGTTATTAACAATTTCAATATAGTAGTTAACAACAAATTTTCTGAAAAATTTAAAAAGTAGCATTTTTACAATTTCAATAACGTCGTTAACAAGTTCCGTAACTCTATTAACAACTTCGGTATGGCATTTAACAACAGGTTTTCTTAAAAATTAAAAAAAATAGCATTTTTATAACTTTAACAACTGTTTTTTTTTGAAAATTTTTACAACTTTGGTATAATAATTAACAACTTTTGTAACGCTATTAACAATTTTGATATAATAGTTAACAACAGGTTTTTCAGGAAATTTGAAAAGTAGCATTTTTACAACTTCAGTAATACCGTTAACACACTCAAACACCTGTTGTTAACCGTTATATTGAAGTTATTAAAAGCGTTACAAGAATTGTTAATTGGTATACTAAAGTTGTAAAAATTTTCAAAAAAATTGTTTTCGGCCGTTGAATTTCCTGAAAAACCTATTGTTAACTGCTATACTGAAGTTATTAATAGCGTTACAAAAATTCTTAACTATTATACTAAAGTTGTAAAAATTTTCAAAAAA